TGCACATGCACGAGTACCACTGCGCTTTGTGAATGGTCCTGTAGTCTTCTGGGACCTGTCACGTGTCCCAAAAGACTACAGGGAGAGATGGAGGGAGGACACCTTCCGCTTCCAATTGCCTAGGCAATCGGACCGGAAGTGGGAGCGGGTACCTGTCAAATTCAGGTACCCGCTCCCCCCCCTCGCTCCCCAAATGTGCCAATCCTTAATGGGGAGCAGTCCTTAAAGCGGAACCTCCCCTTTTGGGTGGAGCTCCACTTTAATTGCAAAATCACATCCCATTGACTTCAATACAGGACCCGCCCCCATTGACTTCAATGCAAAATCGTGTCCCTTTGACTTCAATGCTGTCAGGGATGGCGGCAGCGCACGGGTCTGCGCATGCACAGAATGCCGATGAGCATTAGCCTTTGGGCAGTAGGGCATAGACAACCGTGGAACAGTGGCGGACGCGCGCCTGGCACCAATGATAGCACAGGGCGCACTATTTAAACCAGCCCTGTGCATCCCCAAGTTGCCGTATGGTCTTGTTCCTGTGTTCCTGCTCGTTTCTGTCCAGTAATTGCCTTGTTGCCAACCCAGCCTGACCCTGATCCTGTTGACCGTCTCCTGCTCTGACCTTTGGCTTGTTCTGACTATTCTCTGCCTGATCCTGATTATCTGACCTCCTGTTGCTGAACCTGGCCTGTGACCCGTTATCCTTTTGCCTGCCGCTCTGTACCGTCTGCCTCTGCTGTTACCGACCTGGCCTGTCTGACTACGCTACCACCTCTTCACATCTGGCTCTCACCTGCCACTTGCCACTGGCAACTACCTCTACCACAGCTGGTTGTACTCGGGGGTCGCGACCTGTACTCAGGCTGCTTCAAGTCCATCCCCACCATCAGGGGCTCTGGTGAACCAGCAGACTGAGGCTTAGACTCCGCGCCCTGAGGAAATCCGTCCTGTGGGTCGCTAGAGGCTACCGCCAGTCGGCTGCTGACAAATGCAAAATTGTGTCCCATTGACTTCAATGCAAAATCGTGTCTTTGACTTCAATGCAAAATCGCGTTCCATTGACTTTAATGCAAAAACACCCTCTATTGACGTCAATGCAAAAACACCTCTATTTAGGGTTTTTTTTTTTTTTATATATTTCTTTTTATTTTGTGTCCAATTTTTGTGTGTTAATTTTCAATAAAAGTTATTTTAGGTTACTGGATTGTAGTTTTTAAATTCATATTAACTTAAATTCATGATATTAATTAAAAAGTTGAATATAATACAATTATATACAAAAAAATACGTATATTTTAAAAATTTGTCCATTTTGGTTTCGGTTTCAGTTTTCGGCCAAGTGCATAAGTGAATTTTCAGTTTCAGTGCAGAATTTTCAGTGCACCACTACTTTATACTGAGGGAAATTACACATCATTGTCACATGAAGATAAGCAACAGGTGACATAAGCAATAAGTGACACAGAAATAGAAATAAGCGCAGACAATTGATATACTGTAAAAGAAGAAACCAGGCCACAAGAGGCTTTAAACAGGGAATCCACCAGAAGCAATAACGGCATCCCAACCAAATGTCTTTACTATGTTGCTCGCGTAGCATTAAAACCAGAGCCAGATTCATGGGATGAGATGCAAAGACTTCCAACCCCAAAAAAAAAAGATTTATAGAATGGGGATCTGAAATGGGACTAATATTAGGAGTAGATGTTGAATGGGGGCGTTGGAATACAATGTTCATGTATTTTGAAACCAAAGTGCAGGAATTAGTAAAAACATTGTATCATTTATTTGAAAACAAATAACTAGCCTTACATTCTGATAAAAAAAATGGTGCCCTCCATGTCCAAGCAGCACCTCTCTTACCTAATGTACAGTAAGTGTGGATATTTGTTTTCAAATAAATGATACAATGCTTTTACTAATTGCTGTTCTTTGGCTACCTTGTTCTCTTCTACATGTTCCGAGGATCCTTCTCAGATATGAACTGCCTTTGTTGCCGAGTACTCTTGAGCCTTCACCCAGCCATCCCCTCACCCATCTATCCCTGATCTCCAATCTGTACTGACTGTTCCCAAGGCTGCTGAATACATGTACTCATCATTCCAAGCCAAGAGTTCACCACACAATATTAGATCTGGAACCACGCCATTAAGAATGAGTACTTTTCACATTTGTAGTATTTTTTTCTCTACATTAACCACCATTTTTTCTGCATTAACCACCATTGATTTCTACTCATGACTCAACTAAGAGCGCTGAGAGAACTTTCTTTTTAGATGTATAATGCAACAACTACTTCAGTGTTCAGTAGAGATATATTCTTCAACCAGTAGACAGCAGTGTTTATAAGTTTGTAGATGCATCTATGATTGTACTCTATGTCTTCTTGCTGAATAAAGTTCTTGTTTCCTGTTTGCAGTGAAGCAGCAGGTAAACACCTGAGGACTGTGCACTGTCTGTTCTGCAGGGCTATATAGAGAATCTCTAATAGATTTGCTATGGGGCATCCATTGTTGGCTGCCTCTGCTCTACACAGCAGCTGCTGCTGACAGCTCAGCCTGGGACCGGACCAGAGCAGCTTCAGAATAGGCAAGTATAGCAATCTTCTCTTTACAGGGCTAGATAGATTTGGTTTAGAATGGGGCTGGGGGTAGGTTTAGAGTTAGGTTTTGGATGAACTTCTACTTTCGTTTAACACTGTAACATTAATTTTAAATCTAACACTTATACTCCTTTAAAAAATTATGTTGTGTGTTTATTAGGTTTAGCAAAAACCCTGTCTTTAAGAAGAAGGGTAATAAGCTGGTATTTGCAGAGTTACTTAGCCCAACAATCTAGACATGCAAGCTGGTATACCCATAGTAAGGGAGCTGAGAGCATGCAGCCCCTTGCTACACTGAAATTAGCCCACGTGTCCTTCAGCTTAAGTGCATACTAGTAAGGGCACCTATAAACTGATAAGGGGTCCAAAACCAATTTATAGGGAATGGTACAAACATCCCCAGGTAGATGATAAATGAGCCCCACACCCCCTTTTTTACAGTAAAGAAAATGAAAAAAAATGAGGGTTCAGCAGTCTCCATAAGCTAAATGTTCACAGCACCAAAGCATTTTGAAATACACATTCCACACTCCAAACCTGGGAATGGTTTAAATACTGCACAAGGTGAAAAATGGGCAAATATTGGTCAGATTTCAGAACTACTCAGGGATAAAATAGCACAGTGAAAAACAAAAGCAAAAGAGCACAACCTATGTATGATCTAGAGGTGGGGTAAAAACAAAAATAGGAGTAACATCAATATGCAGGGAAAACACACTTGTAAATGAATGCCAAACAAATGGGACCCAATTGGGTTATAGAGAAAAAAAATAAATAAATAGATGTTCTGTCTAGCTACTGCTGACAGATGTAAAGCTAACAATCCTATTTGTGGTCCTGTTTACTTATGGCAGCCTTTTTCTGGATTGAAGCTTGAGTCCAGAAGGATACATGTAAAAAAAAAAAAAAAAAAAAAAAAGGAAGAAAGGCTCTTCTAAGTGTAAACTGTAAAAAAACTTAATTTATTGCACATGAAAGACAGCAATTTACAGGAGGCACTTCAATAACCATCAATGGGATTTTAGCCCCGGTTACCGGAGTCTCCTGTGCGATGGTCTTTATAGGGAATTATATATTTATTTTTTGACACGATAAAGGTGGTTGGTGGAGGCTGGTACACATCAGGGGGTCTCCTGTTCCTGCATATCCCTATACGTCTTTTACCAACAAAACCATTCCTATACCATCAGCTTGACAAAGGAGCGCGCTAGGACTGCCATCTCACAGCCATCTGCTCAGGCATGCTCAGGAAACATGTTGCAAACGCTGCGTTCCAAGCCTCGTTGCCAGACCTCTGCCATCTTGCCAGCCGCTTATGCCTGACACTGACAGATCATCCTGGACTGCACACCATGCCGTTCACCGTGGCTAAAAGCTCACTGATGAATACTGAAGTGCTTTTTTAATCTACCCTCCTGTAAGTTGCTGTCTTTCATGTGCAATAAATCAAGTTTTTTACAGTTTACACTTAAAGGCACCTTTCTCCTTTCTTTTCTTACATAAATAGCACAGTAAAGCACTTCCATTGACGTACAGATGTTAGGTGAATCTTAATAAATATTTGACCAGTGAATCTTGTTTGAAAATGGGAGAAAACAATTGTGGTAAATAGAGGCAATGTGGAAAAGAGAATCAATATAAAACATGGGTGAATGTTGAGAAAATTGCTAATCAAGTCAATGATAAATACACCCTATAGGTTTATAAGTACAAACAAAATCAAAATGAAACTAAAGAACATTATTAATCTTTTATTATCTCATAGAGATCATAATACTATACGGATATTTCAAAAACTATTTCATTATGTCATTACAACAGCAAGTATTTAATTTTCATAAAACTGGTTTACAAATTCATTGCCAGCAGGACAAGAACAGACAACAAGGAAAAGTGCTAATTATTACGTACCAGTTATGGAATGGTTGAATATAAAAAATATGCTCATAATTTTAACTAGACCACTGTAAGAACATGATTCTGCTGAGTAAACAAGCTTAGTTATTTATGCTTGTATGGCAAGACTTGGCATAAAATTACAATGGCATAAAGATAAGTAATACACATAGGTACGGTAGATAATAAAGCTTTCTACTAATGTCCCAGAATCCTCAGCATCTTGGTGATATTCACCATATAGGCTTTTGATTTATATTAAAACAGCTTTACTAAGACTTATAGTTTATTCCTTCATATATGACAAAAACAAATAAACAGCTTAATTGCTGAAAAGTCTTTCCTGTAACAGGGTACTGTTCAGTTTTCATAGTCGCAAGGTTAAAAAAAGTGATACTCTGGGCTAATAGTAATATTAAGCCACAAACGTCATCATGTAGAGGTCACAGCATAAAAATGAAGTCCTGATTTTTACATGGAAGATGGTTTGCCCAGGTTAGAGCTACTAAGTACCCAGCATAGGAAAGCGCAGTCTGGCAGTCACATGATGCCGCTTCAGTTTCATGGTAAGTCCATACTGGGGAGACATATCCAATTTTTCAACATCTTGTATTGAAAATTGCAACTGCTGGAGCATAGTTGTAAGGAACAGGAAAACTTCTGCTCTGCCAATGGCTTCACCAAGACATCTTCTCTTGCCTAAACCAAAAATCAGGGCTTTTTCCATCTCAGTTTTGTTTAGTGACAAGCCATCTTCATTTAGGAAGCGTTCTGGGCTGAATTTAAATGGGTCCTTCCACAATTTCCTAAGATAGTAGAAGACAAAGACAAAACAAAGTGACTATCCTAAAAGATGAAAGACAGGCCAAAAATTATTTTCTGGCTTATAAAAAATTGCAGCTTTTAGAGAATCTAAAGTGAGCATTTATCCAATGACATACCTAGCATACTTGACTCCTGGGGTGGATTATTCTTTAACTATCCCCCTAATAAACCCCCCCACACACACTTCTATGCATCAAATTCATTTTTAGTAATTATCGGGACATTAAAGTAATCATATTTTTTAGTTTAAAATTTTTTAAATGTTATACGTTCCTGCTATGTGCAATGGTATTGTACAGAGCGGTCCCTTACCTCCTCTTCTGGAGTCCCTTGCCGGTACTCTCTGCTCCTTTCTACATTTGCCCACTCAGCAAGCCATGTGCTAAGAGGGCACCTATGTGGGCACACTCACGAGCTGGTCTGTGTGTGTTCTTAGACATACACAGCGCTGGTAAGCCATGCCCCCTGCTCCCTCCTTAGAGGGGTTTGACTGACAGCAACAGGAGTCTATGGCTCTCTCTGCTTTCAGTGCCTCTTGTGAAACCAGGATATGGAGGAACTGTGCTGCAGCTGGGACAGCACTGTTCAATGAGAGTAGTCCAATAAGTGTTTAGGGACAGGGAGGGGAATAGGTAATGAAATGCATTAAGGTAAAAGACATTTAACCTTTAGAACCACTTTAAGCAAATAATAGACAGAAAAAAAAGATACAGTGCACTGCAGAAAAACATGTGGATAATAACAATAAATAAAAGACAAGGGTGTAAAAGCAGCGTGCCCAGTGCACCACGTTGAACCATGGGGATATCAGCAGTATAATATAAATTAAAATTAAATGGTTTAATATTAGCAAACTACAGCAAAACATAGGGATAAGATAGGCAAGGTGTGCTTTGAACGAGACAGCTCTATAGGGGCTTAAATTCTAGTAGTCAGCATTCAGGACTTTGTAACATATAGAGCACAGTAGTCAGGACCATGTCAGTGTGCCCCCTTGCATGAAGTGGTCAGTGTGACTCTTTGCACATAGTGGTCAGCACATCTGCTTTATGGTTAATGTGTGTCCATTTGTGGTGGTCAGAGTGTCTTCCCTCTATGGTGGCTAGTGTATGCCCCCTTTATGGTGCTTAGCCCATTTCTCCTTTATTGTGGTCAATGTACATGAACACTTACCTGAGTAGCACTGCACAGGTCCAATGCCACTCCTTCCAGCTTTTGTGTCTCCTGCAGAATGACTTTGGAGCCAGAACTACAGAGGCAGCATTGAAATACCTCTACCATGCACTGTCCGTATAGAATAGTGCAAATCACTGATAGTCATTGTGACTTGGCCTAGACCAAGGGCACATGGCTATAGTACTTTGGTCTAATGACATCCATGCTCACATCAATCCACCCGTAGTGTTGCCTGCAGTATATCAGTTCATCTCGCCCAGGCGGTGCACACATTTAGCAGCAGCCACAGCAGCAGTGCCCAAATGGTGGTACCCCTTGTTAGTTTCATACAATACATTTTAGGGCCACGTTTGTATATTTGCACCCGTGTGCTTTCCTCACATCCTTCTTATTGTCACGCTAACAACTGTACTATCTGATCTTTTACTGAAAAAAAAAAATGATAGAAAGCACAAATAAAAAAAGATACTCACGGGTCATGATTCACTTGCCACTGGTTGATCAGTACGCATATTCCCTTGGGTATGAAGTATCCATTGAGCACAGTTTCAGAGGTGGTACTGCAACAAATAAAGACAAACATTTTACATCCAAGTCACAGAAATGTAGTGGATGATTTTTTATGTGATATTATTTGCTTAGGTATCTAAAGGCAAAACGTTTCTCATTTTGGAAAGGGTACAGAATGATTAAAAATCTTGTAAATTTTTTTTCGTATCTGTGCGCCATTGGGAATTGGCCATTCTCTTCACTTCCCATCCTGTACACACAACATGAAGTTGGAGCAACTTTCTCCAAAGTGAAAGAAATCCTCTTTTATACAGTTGTCAACAGACCAGGCATTCCCTTTGCAGACGTCCCTCTTTTCCTGCTCTGGCACTAGATTCAGTCCCAGTGACAATGGTCACAAGGAAAAATGAAGGGTAGATCTGGACACAGACAGCAGCAAAATCTTGGCAGATGTTAACCCCTCACCATTCTATCTAAGTCTAAAAAAAAACCCAAAAAAAACTCAGTTTTGGTTTTAGACAAACTTTAAAGTGGTTCTAAAGACAGAAGGGTTTTTACCTTAAATCATTCTATGCGTTAAGTTAAAAACCTTCTGGGTGCAGCTCCACCATCAGCTCCCCTTTATACTTACTTGAGCCCCATCTCGATCTAGTGATGTGCATGAAAGCTGTGGCTCTCCCAGGTTTTTCTCTCATCATTGGCTCACAAAGCAGTGGGAGCCATTGGCTCCTGTTAATCACAGCCAGTGAGCCAATGAGGGGAGAGCGGGAACAGGGTCAGACTGCGCTCTATGTGCGAATGGAGAGAAGTGAGCATGCTTGAGTGCACCCATAGCAAGAGGCTTGCTATTGGGGCACTTAGCTGGAGGAGGAGCCAGGACCACCAGCAGGGGGCCAAAAAAGAAGAGGATCGGGGCTGTTTTGTGCAAAAGCATTACACAGGGCAGGAACATATAACATGTTTGTTTGTTTTTTTTATTACAACCTTTTAGAATCACTTTAATTTTTTCTATTAGTATATAGTCTAAATGTGTACAGCTCTCACTATAGCTTATTTCCGTCTATAGTAGATGGATCAGGTCAGGCAACTTGGCAACCTGTTTATGACATTTAAAAAAAACCCCACAGCTGTAATCTTACCTGTTCAGTTCCTTGGAAATCAATTAATCTGAGGCAGTTTGCCAAAAATATTGGGCAATGTATTACAAGAACTGATAAGCAACTAATATGGGACAGGATACCTGTAGACCAGGCATCACTAAATGGCGGACTGGGATCCGAATGTGGATCAAGTCACTGTCCCATCTGGACCCATGCAGTCCTGCCATTTAAGAGCCTTTTCTTCCCCCAGCTGTCTCGTGGTCATCCTCACAGAGCTGACAGCGGGAGGCAGGACGGTTCTGGATGGAGGGTGGGAACTGCCCAAGGTTAACAAGCAGGTGATTGGTTGCTAGGATGAAGGGCAGTCCTAGCAATCAATCACTGTCAGTCAATGACTGTCAGTGTAAGGTAGGACAGTGGGGGGGGGGAGGCAAAGTTAAATGGGCTAAGGATATTCGTGTGAAGGGGGACTGAGGACAGTAATGTGGGGGGCTAAGTACTGTGGTGTGTGGGGGCTGAGGACATTAAAGTGGGAGGGGCTGACAACTGTAATGTGGGGGCTGAGGACAGTAGCAAGGAGGGGGGCTGAGGTCAGTAACATGGGGGGGGGGGGTCTGGGGACAGTAATGTGGGGGGATAATGTAAAAAGGGGCAGAGTACTCTTCAGTGAAGGGGCAGAGAACAGTACTGTTGGGGGGGGGGGGGGGGTTTGATGTCAAGGAAGTGTGACAACACTACTGTGAAAGGGGTGGAGGGGGGTGATGTAAAGGGGGAGCTGGGGACACTCATCAAGAGGGATCTTGCTGTGAATGAGGAGGAAACTATGATGTGCAGTGGGGATTGAGGACACTGATGTGAGAACAGGTTCAGATCTGTACAAGGGGTGGACTGACCATTTAGAAACTCGGGCAGTGCCCGAGGGCCCGGGGTCAGTAGGGGGCCCCATGAGATGCCCCTGGTACCTTTTTCATAGGCTTTTTTGAGTTTGGGCAAGGACACAGGGGCCCCATGATACCCTATTGCCCTGGGGCCCCATGAGTTGTCAGTCCGCCCCTGATCTGTACATTTGGTGAACACGTTGTGGGTAGGTCAACACTACTTGCTAGAAACCTGAAGAAGTCCGACCCTTTTTTTCAAAATCATACCGCAGCAACATGTGGTTTGGCACACATGAAAATGCACCACAGGGGCCTACACAAGATTCGGACCTCTGATGCATGCAAATGTTACTGCCCAGACCTTGGTGAATTTTAATTCAATACCCCTGCTGTAGACTATGGATGCCTTTGTCAACACCAGCTTGCTCTCATACAACTAATAGAGAGCTGTCTTCTGGAAGATAGAAACCGCTATGGTTTCCTTTTGTAATACAGCATTGAATTCACAAAGCTAATATACCAAGTTAAGAATATTTCTTTTTAAAAAGTAACCTTTATTATTACAGTCACTTGGCTGGAGAAAACAAGCCTTGTGATTTTTGTTCAATCTTTTTGAATTGATTCACAGCAACAGCATATTGTGTATATAATCACTTAAAGTGGTAGTAAACCCAAAATCAAAAATGTAATGTATTGCAGTTTACTAATCTACTCAGATGCAGTGGCTACAATTATTTTGTTTTTTTTAGGCCTTTCCCCTCTGTTTTCACCTGGTGATCTGGCCAATAGCACACTACCTGTATTAGGGTGGCTACACTCTGGATGATTGGGCACAGGGACACCTTTGTACAGCCATTGTTAATCTGGGGGAGAGGAGTGTTTTAGATATATTAGATGCACTAACAAACTGAGGCCAAACTCCAGCTAACACTTTTTTCCTTTTGAGATAAAGGCTTACATAAATGAATAAAAGCTGACCATTGCACCCCTGTCAGTGGAAAATACTTTGTCTCAACCCTTTAACTACTACAACTGCAGTACACCTTGTTCTGTTGAAAAACAACAGACTTACTGGCCTGATTACCAGGTGAAAATAAAGGACAGAAAGCCTACAAAAAGAAAACTAGTGCAGCCGCTAAGAAATGGTAAGCTGCAGTATAATAAATGTTTGATTTTGGGTTTAATATTGATTGATTTGTCCTTTGATATTTAAAAGCTTTAGACATGCAGCTTTCTGTTTTATGGACATGAGTCTATATAACTGTATACAATTTTTAGTCCTATTAGAACTTGTAATGCTGTTTGTACTTACCAATGTGGAATTGTAAAAGGTAGAAAGGATGAATGGCGGAACATCTCCAAAATGAAGGCTTCTGTGTAAGGCAGCTGAGATCTGTCGGACAATTTGGGCCTTCGTTCTCTGCCAATGACCTGATCTGTTACAAGATACAAAACAAACTATATAAGTACATATTTAAAGCTGAGCTGTAGAAAATCTAGAAAATGTCCTGTAATGTTGCTGGACTTTGTTTTATTACTCTCCATAATAATTTGTTAGCTTTTACGCATCAATTTGATTACAATTAATTGGCTCCAGTGTGGTAATACAGTCAGTCTGATACCCTAAATGGGCTGTCAGTAGGGGAACTGCAAGTGATTTTAAAAACAAATACATATTTTTACTAATAAACACATTTTAGGGCTGGTTCACACCTATGCAGGTTGTGGTTGATGCATTTTCCCAGTGCATTTTGCATTTTTTTTTCACACACATTTTCTAAGCGTTTTGTGTTTTGCATTTTTGGGAGGTGTATGTTGTCTTGCGGCAGATACCAGCAAACATGCAGCAGTAATGCATCAAAAATACAAGCACTGCATTTTTAATGTGTTTCCATTGCATTTCCTTTGAAGTAAGTGAAACCAAAAATGCAACCTGCAAAAAACTCCTTGACCCTTTCCAAAAAATGCACCGGTAGAAAACGCACAGATGTAAACGTGACCCATAGAAACCCATGGGAAAAAGATTGAAGTACATTTCTCAATAAAAGAAGAAAAGAAATGGTGCTACTACCCATTAATCCACCAGTAAAGCTCACTGGTGCACAATTTCCAATTACTTTTCTGAAAGCAATATAGTCATGTACTTGATCCGCACAGCCTTTGTTGATTTTAAAATCTTGAGATGTATTCAGAAAACTACAGTGTACAGTATGCAAAAGTACAATTCAGTTGACGCGTTTCAGCCTACATAGCTTTAATTACAAGTATAAATGAAACTGGAATATATAGTAGTACAAATTTCTGCAGTAGCAAAAAGTTCTGCAAAACTGAAAATGCACAGAAAAATGCATAGGTGAGGACCAGGCCTTAAAACATTATTGGGCATACAAATATAAATGTAACTTTACTGTGATGTCTACAGGTCAGATTTTAAAGCTCAAGTCACTCAAAGGGATGCTCATTCTTGTGAGAATGTATAGTGTGACTGTCAAAAACCAATTAAATTCCCTTAAAGGAGTGGTGTGTTTTTTGTTTAAAAAGAAAAAGTCACCTCTTTTTCATCCTAAGTTTGGTGCATGCCCAAGGACAGCCATTATTCTCTATGGCCAGGGCCAATACTACACTACTAATACACCATGTGGACTATTTCAGAGACAGCTGGTGCCCCACATAGCATCAACCCTACCTATCCCTGGGTAGACCAGGCAGTGAACTTTCTATCTGAAGTATGTACTTAAACTGATTATTTTTTTTACAGAAGGGAGTTCATCTTCTGAAATGCACTTCCCCTTTATACTAAAAAAACCAATAAGTTTAAAAAAAATATATATACTATGCAGAGAATTAAACATGAAAAAACTGCACTTTTAAGCTACTGAATGCTGTTGGTTTATGTGATTAAAATACTAACAATACACACATAGATTGTAGCAGCACAAGTTTAGTGACATTCTCTTATGGATATTATGTAATCACAAATGTTAAGGCTGAGATAACTGCAATTCTGTAGTAACAAATACAACTGCTAAAGAACATTCCAGATTTATTATAATCATGATTTAAAATTCCCACCTTCAGTCCCACAGGTTATATGTTGCTATTGCGTAACTTACCCAGTTCATTCTGTATTTTGTCTTGTATTTTGGGATTAGCCACAAGATATGTCAGAGACCATGACAAGGCTGTAGTTACAGTGTCAAATCCTAAAAAAAAAAATACATACAATTTTATATTATTTATTAGTTAACAATTTAATACCAGAATGAAAACATATAAATTAATTTGATGTCCAGGGCATCCTAAAATAGCAACTAAAGCCATATGTTCCCTATCATTAAAAGTCACTGTCAATATTCATAAATATAAATAAGCTCTTCGAGTGGGACAGAATGTAAGATACAGTATTTATCATTGGATTAGCCTTTGCCGTTTTGTACAGTACATCGTACATCATATAGGTTTGTGCTGTCAAAAATTTAAGTCGGGAAATCCTGGATAGGAGCCACTGCAAAGCCCTTGAGTGAGTCAAACATTGTAGAATTTATTGGTTCGAAGAGGGTTGGAAAGATTGGCACTAATAGAGATATAACATTTTTTGGCTGGCTGCTATAAGGAATATAAATAGTAGTCCACTCAAACAATTTAAAGTGGAACTAAACCCACTCATTTAACTGTTTTCCAAGACAGTGACATTAAAGGCATGCCTTGAAAAATAAACGGGGCTTTTTATTCAGCTGGAAGTTGGCTGAACTCAGTTCCATTACCTCTGACTCAGGCCCTCTGCTCCCTGCTCACCACTATCACTTGTAAACACAGAAGTCTGGCTTCTATGTTTACAAAAGACAGCGTGTCTCTCAACAGCTCTCACAGATCTGATCTCCTAAGCGGCTTTCACTGAGTGCACAATGTGGGCAAGGGAGATGCAGGTGAATGGGGTGCATTACAGATGCCGACTCCACCACTGGATGATCTCCCTGCAAGTGAGAGAGGCGGAGCCACCTACATTGAGCAACGAGGTACTAGAGCCAGCTGCGTGCTTCAGTTTAATACAGCAAAAAAGGTAAATTATATGTAAGATGATGGAGCTTTTAAGGAGGGGTGGAGTAGATGGGGGCTGGTTGCATGCAGAGGTCAGAGCTGAAGAGGGGTGAAAGTGAGATGTGGATGGGGGATGCAGAGGTAAGCAGCTATGGAAGACGGCTGAACTCTAACTGATCAAACGAGCAGCACCATGGCCACTGCAGATCAAACAGAGGCTAAGGTGGCAGCTTCCTTGTCTGTAGAGAATAGAAGGGTGTAGTTCCACTTTAATATAGAAGTTCACATTGTACTTTGGGCCCAATGACTGTTTTAAGGGTAGATACTAGTATGCCTAAGTCCTAGCAAGTGCTCTTGTTGCTGCAGCATTACAACACCACCTAGCACAGGACTCAAGTTAAAGAGGGAAAGAAGGGAATAAAAAGTATGAATGGTTAAACTATAAGAAATACTGAATATCACTGCTGGTTAGTAAAAAATCACATAAAATATGTTGACTGGTATTAGAATATTTGACTAGGTAAACTTCAATATTCTTCTTTAAAAACCTCACACTTACCAGCCCCAAAAAGGTCATTAACAATGTTGATAATCTTCTGGTCTGATATTTGCACATTGGAGTTCTCATCTACTTTCTTCTCTTGAGAGTGTTGAATTAGAGAATCAGTAATATCTCGAACAGCATTCTGAAATAAAAAGTAGAAAATATTAATTATAACAAATTTTGACAGTAGATAAAATGCTGTACCATTTAGCAACATTCCGAGTTATTGTCTCACATGGTGGCAAATATTTACTTGTTATATTTTATGTAGTATAGTTTTGTACGTGTTCTTTCATCTAACTTGCACTACTTTCTAAGATACCTTTTTATGTGAGCAAGTACAACTTATAAATAAAGAATCTCTCTTCCCTATTTAGGACAAAACAAACTGTAGTATTGTGTATGTGGAATATGTTTGTATTGAGCTCTTACCTTATCATAAGTTTGGTAATGCTCATTAACAATCTTCTGTATGAAGTTCATAAACTTTTTGTTGACATCTACAAATCTTTTCATGGTCCGGCTTGGAAGATATTGAAGGATAGGGATAAAATCTGCAGGATTTCCTGATGCAGCTGCTGCTCCAAACTCATCGGTCAGGTTGACTATGTCAAGGAAGGTTTGGTCATCGTGGTTGTAGCGTCTTCCGAAACACATTGCACAAATGACATTGGCTACAGAAACCACCACGTACCTATAGGGGTCAAATTCTCCTTGTTCTTCAATGAGCTGCTGGAATTTTCTGACAAGGTATTCTGCTTCTTTACTTATGTGTTCCTCTACCAGAGATGTACTAGAAGATGTGAGGGAGGGAGAAATAGCAAAGGTCTTAAGGGCATTATGTGCCAATCTGCGACGAGCTTTCCATACCTCACCAGAATCTTGATTAAATGTTAAACTTTGTCCATCACCAATCAGGCGAAAGGTAAAGAGGTCAGGGCGTCCCTTAAACACCTCACCTTGCTTTAGCAAAGCCTGACGGATTGTTTCCAGTCCACTCAGCACCAGCACAGGCTTTGTGCCTATCTGGATTTGAAGCACATCTCCATAAGTCTCACTCATTTTGCTAAGACTGAGATGAGGATTCTTGCTTAAGGAGAGGATATTTCCTATTAATGGCAGCGGAAATGGCCCAGGCATTCGCTTCATACCACGAGGAACCCTCTGGTTGTAAGTTTTGAGGATTAGGACAACCACGGAAAAGACCACAGAGACCAGAAGCACCTCTGTGGCTGATATCTGACTAAAGTAGCTGACCAAATTAATCATCTTGCCTAGGAAAAAAAAAATAGAGAAAGTAGTTATAAAATAGGAAAGAAATTATAATCTAACCTTCTACTTACAACAGCTAGTAATTATTGTTGTATATTTATAAATCACCATATTTTTGCAAGCAACCAAAATGCATTCATTACACAGTAGGGTATTTAGTTCAAAATTTCGAATTTAGGATTAACCAGAAAAAGCTTAGATTGTAATCTAATGTGCCAGGACTATCCATGATGTAACTTGTGACTTGACCAACAAGCAGTTACAGTACATCAATGATTAATATCCTATCCCTTTTTCTTCATAAAAGAGAGGGACTGGTGTCCTACAACATCTGTTCCTCATCTAGTCATCACAATCAATACTCAGATCAGGCATCTGGCTTGGTCTGTATATGGGCACATTAGGGCTTCTGTTGACATGGATAACTAAGCAACCTATTAAATGTATATGCAATCAGGTAGGCTTTTACACTATGGAGTCGTCAAATCTAAAGCAGATTTAAACAATCAGATTATAATATGTATGGTCAGTTTACCATAGCAAGATTGAGTGTAATGAGTTAAACATTTTAATTTTATATCTTTTTACATATAGTTTTCTGAATCCTAGATAGCATCACATACATGACACAGTTCATATATGGTATATATGGTAATGCTTGTAAAAACTTGACTGTGATTTAATTACCTGACATCAAAGAAAGTACAGTATATACATTACATAAGGTGTTAAGTAGAAAACCATTCATGTCTAAGTCACAGATTGAACATTAAGTAGTTTAGGTAGCCTTTGATGGTCATTTAAAGAAGATTAAAAGGTATAGCTTCATATAATCATTAGGTTTGAGGCTCCTTAGACACTTCAACCAGTTCACGTTATGCAGATATTGACAAATACTGTTGGATTTTTTTATTATTGTACCATAGGAAAATAGAAGTCTTGTTTTTTCTCATTGTAATAATGATCAAGTCATAATGTGGTAATGACCAATTTATATCAGACATCCAAGTGCTTGGATAATGGTCAATCCATGTGTGACATCCAAGCGCTTGGATAATGTTCAATCCATGTCTGAATCCAAGCGCTTGGATAATGTTCAATCCATGTCTGACATCCAAGCGCTTGGATAATGTTCAATCCATGTCTGACATCCAAGCGCTTGGATAATGGACAATAAATGTCTGACATCCAAGTGCTTGAATAATGTTCAATCTATGTATGACATCCAAGTGCTTGAATAATGGTCAGTCCACGCCTGGCTTCCAAGTGCTTGGATAATGTTCAATCCATGTCTGACATCCAAGTGCTTATATAATGGTCAATCCATGTCTGACACCCAAGTGCTTATATAATGGTCAATCCATATCTGACATCCAAGCATTTTTATTAAGGGTGGGTGTCACTAATGATTAGGTAGGTTGGAACCTTTTTTCTACTCTTTTATTTAGTTCTTCAGCCAAGATCAGTGGTAATGTGATACACCTAATTACTGTCTTTTATATATGTAACCAGCCAGAATTGATCCCAGCACTCTGAAATATTGAGAGAATTAAGAGTATCTGCTTTTAGAATCAATATTTTCAGCACCCTAGAATCCATGTCTGGGTTTGCATTTTCAAGGATTTGAGGTCAGGGCTGTTTTAATGCATGGGCAGCCCTGGGTACTGCCCAGCGGCTACAGGTGCACAGGGGCTCCATGGTCATTTTGCAGTACTACATACTTGAAAACTGTCCTGGATTTGCCAGGACAGTTATACTTTTTACTAAGCTGCCCCAGGATGGCCATGGCCAAGGCAGTGACCCAGAACCTGTACTGTACCCTTCTGATACCACTATTGTGCCCTCCTGATCCCCCCATACTGTCTAACTCTGCCTTGAGAGTAGGTGTGTAAATTGGGGGAGGCTGTTAGGGACTCCAGTGCATTACTTTTTCCAGAGGCCCATGATACTATTAAAGGTAACATTTCACAGATGTGAAATAGTAAAGTTTGGTTTTTAACTCCAAACTTTTGGAGTTAAACTAAAGTTTGCAACAAGTAACATGAGAAATACTTTTTTTAAACCAAAAACCAGTGTATTGCAAATGACCTTGGTCAGGAATGGTGCTGTAAACCCCTGCTTTATAGGAAATATACTATATAATGGTGCAGGTATGCAGACAGATAAATACTGAGAACTGAGCTGACGGGTTCATGCAAACAAAATTATTGGGAGCTGAGAACTTCATGAGCACTGGTTGGCAAATGCTCCCCCAGACAGCTAAAAAAAAAGTCAATACTGTTGGTAAAAGTACCTAAGTACATGCTGCTAGATATTCCTTAGGCATTTAAGGGGAATGTAAAGTATTTTGATTTTATTTTTTTGAAAGTGAAAATTGCCAGCTTAATATAATAATCTGATCAGTATGTGTTGATTCAAAAAACTCTGTATGTAGGCTGTAAATGTATGTTCTTGAATTCTGCTTCTTAATTAGGAGCATGACAAAGTGGTCATACTATATGTACTGTTGTTCTGCCCTACGTAAAGGCCTCATTAACAGTCAACAAGGGGGACAGAAAAAATAGACAGCTGCTCAGGTCTGTACACAGATCTAGCCATGTTGCCAATTTAACTAGCCAAGTTGCATTTGGCAGGCATTCCACTTCCCAAATGTGGCCATTGAGGTCAATGGGACTGCACTACAACCATGTGTCAAGCACTTTGCATACACTTTTGGCTTGGTATTTCAATGATTGCTTTGCTTTTTTATGTCAATTACCCACTGTAATTGAAAAAAAGCCAAACATGCATTCAGAAGACATCAGTATAATTTCCTGAATATCTGCAAACCGCCGCTCAGCCACCTCTGAAATACAATCCACTGTGGATTGTTATGCAGTTTCAGTATTGGGATTGGGGTTGACTATAGTGTTTATTTGCTGCAAATGTCTGCTTGGCATCCACAAGTTTGACTAAAGTACATGTGTTATGTTTTCAAACAAATTTTCCATATTGTAAAATATACAGTATATACACATATTAGGTATATTTTTTGTGTAGACCAAGATGTGCAAAATATCTTATCTGTATCAAAGGTTTGCCCTTGATGACCTTCTTATAAAAATGCTAGTTGCCTGGATAGCTTACTGAGCTACTAGCGTTAAACATTTTAGTGTCGCTGATGAAAAACTAGAGACAAATAAGTTCTAATCTATACCTTTTTTTGAAGTCAACTATTTAAAGCATTAAAGCCAGATGATTAAAAGACAACCAAGAAGCTAACATTCTCATGACAGAACAGGAATGGAAGAGGAACAATTATCCATACAATAGTTCCAATCCTCCAAGCAGAAGAGTGCCAAATTTTTTTAAAACAGGGCAAAAATTCCCATGTGGCTATACTACCACCCATATAATGCCTGGGTATAATATTCAAGCAGCTGTCAGCAGTGCAGGTAGGATAGTGCACAAAGAATGATGATATGCAGTGAATGTTGCACAATTGCCAGAGAATTATGATCAGCAGTGCAGGTAGGACAGTGTATAGGGAATAATGATCAGCAGTGCAGGTAGGACAGTGTATAGGGAATAATGATCAGCAGTGCAGGTAGGACAGTGTATAGAGAGTAATGGTCAGCAGTGCAGGTAGGACAGTGTATAGAGTAATGATCAGCAGTGCAGGTAGGACAGTGTATAGAGAGTAATGATCAACAGTGCAGGTAGGACAGTGTATAGAGAGTAATGATCAACAGTGCAGGTAGGACAGTGTATAGAGAGTAATGGTCAGCAGTGCAGGTAGGACAGTGTATAGAGAGTAATGGTCAGCAGCGCAGGTAGGACAGTGTATAGAGTAATGTTCAGCAGTGCAGGTAGCACAGTGTATAGAGTAATGTTCAGCAGTGCAGGTAGGGTAGCACAGTGTATAGAGTAATGTTCAGCAGTGCAGGGCACAGCACAGTGTATAGAGAGTAATGATCAGCAGTGCAGGTAGGACAGTGTATAGAGAGTAATGATCAGCAGTGCAGGTAGGACAGTGTATAGAGTAATGATCAGCAGTGCAGGTAGCACAGTGTATAGAGTAATGATCAGCAGTGCAGGTAGGACAGTGTATAGAGTAATGATCAGCAGTGCAGGTAGGACAGTGTATAGAGTAATGATCAGCAGTGCAGGTAGCACAGTGTATAGAGTAATGATCAGCAGTACAGGTAGGACAGCGTATAGAGAGTAGTGGTCAGCAGTGCAGGTAGGACAGTGTATAGAGAGCAATGATCAGCAGTGCAGGTAGGACAGTGTATAGAGTAATGATCAGCAGTGCAGGTAGCACAGTGTATAGAGAGCAATGATCAGCAGTGCAGGTAGCACAGTGTATAGAGAGCAATGATCAGCAGTGCAGGTAGGACAGTGTATAGAGCAATGATCAGCAGTGCAGGTAGCACAGTGTATAGCAATCCCCCATACATACCGGTTATCCCAGATGTGCAGATCACTGCTATTAGTTTCAGGTGATCCTCTGCCTGTGCCCTGCTGGGAGTACCAGTGTGCAGGATAGCATGCTTTTATATACACCTCTCGCTGACTGCTGATTGGACAGAACTCCTCCTCACATGACCAGCCTGCTGGAGAGCCGCCACCGGGCTCATCATTAACTGCAGTGTAAATGGTTGCGTGAAGAGCAGGAACCTCCTAGGAGCCATTCATTCCGAGAACAGATCTAATAGTCAGATAAGCATGCGATGGGGCGGCTCCGGCATTACAGGCTAGAGAAGTGCGATCACGCCACACACGCCGAGCACAGTGCCAGACTTCTGTCTGGGGGAGCAGGTAGAGCTCCGCATGGAATGGGAACAACCATCGCTGCACACACACGGCTCATAGCATCACTTGTATTGGGATCATGTCATAATCTGTATCGGGATCATGCTATAATCTGTATTGGGATCATGACATAATCTGTATTGGGGATCAGGATCATGCCATAATCTGTATCAGGATCATGCCATAATCTGTATCGGGATCAT